GGAGTATGAGCGGGACAAAGAGTAGGAGTCCTAGTCGTAGTCGTAGTCGTAGTCGTTGTGGCAGTGGCAGTGGCAGTCGCAGTAGTAGTAGTAGTAGTAGTAGTAGTAGTAGTAGTAATAGTAGTAGTCGTAGTCGTAGTAGTAGTCGTCGTCGTAGTAGCAGAAGTAGTCGTAGTAGCAGTAGCAGTAGCAGTAGCAGTAGCAGTAGCAGTAGCAGTAGTACTAGTAGTAGTAGTAGTAGTAGTAGTAGTAGTAGTAGTTGTTGTTGTTGTTGTGGCAGTTGTTGTCTTGTTTTACAATACGGTGCGGATGTTCCAAGCCACGGTAACTTCCATCTATCCTTTTCGTTACACCGGACTGGCGCTTCCCTGTTCTTAATGAAAAGCACCATCGCTTTCCGTACCTCTCTTAGAATTATCAACACATGCTGGATGCGAAGTTCTGGGTGGCTTGAGAAGAGGTCTCCAAAATGTAAAAATGCAAGAGTATCTGAGGCAGCCGGCCCCCAGTATCTGCCGAAGATGTGGCCGTCTTTGATAAAGCACATCCTTGAGCATAGCAGTTTCAGAAATCGAGGCAGATTGCGATCTTAGATTTTTGCTGACCCTGCAAGGACCTAAGAACGGCACGAGCCACCCATGATCTCGTCACCCTTCTTCGTGTTGCCTGCGAGTCCGTCTTCAACCAAGGAGCAAAGCTCGGATACATAGTTTGAGAAGCGGCGTAATGTAGAGGCCTTAATAATTAGAACAAGGTCTTGGGGTATATTATACTATAATTATAATAGGGAACCCCCAAAATAATATAGGCAATTATTCAGCCCCCCCATCTTAGCTTCCTGTTGGAGTCAGCATGCAAAGCGGTTGGGCAAGGTTCGGTTTAGGTCACTGTACCAGCCCCAAATCCCACAACCCCAAGCCCCTATAGCCTAAACACTAACAACCCAAACGCTCAACAACCTGCCCTGAACTCTAAACCCTTTAGTACAGACAGCCAAGTCCTAAACCCTAAACCCTAAACAAAAATCCGAGGGCCCAACGCGCCAGCACCAGAAGCATCCGGTTGGGAAGTTGCTCTCCTCGGAGAAGCTTCGGGTTTCAGGGTTGAGGGTTCAGGGCTTCTGGTTTCAGGGTTTAGTAGGGTTTCTAGGGAATGTTATAAGGTTAGCAGTTTGGGTACAGGGTTTAGGTCTGAGGCAGCTTTGTTGCTTGGACTTTCGGGCAGTGGGTCTTTGGAACCTCGCGACTCGGACGATACAGGCGAGACTTGTTCGGTGCGAAGGGCAGTGGGTATTTAGAGATCCGGGATGTAGCGGGAAAAGGCCTGATGCTTGTTTTGGCCCTCACATGTTGGACATTTAGGATTACTACTATGGCGACGACGACGACTACTACTCCTCCACTTCCTACTACTACCACTGCTACTACTGCTACCACGACCACTACTACCACTATACTACCACTACCACGACTACCACGACTACCACGACTACCACGACTACCACTACTACCACNNCTACTCTTACTACTACTACTACGACGACGACGACTACTACTACTACTACGACGACTACTACTGCGACTACTACTGCCGGCGGGGAGAGTTATTGTCATGTGCTGGCCCTCCCTGCTCAGGTCGCAGCCCAGCATTCTGAAGAACTCCTCGCTCAGGTCACACCTGCTTCGGGCTTTAGGGTTGTTTAGTTTAGGGTTTAGGGTTAGGGTTTCGGTATGAAATTGCGCGACAACGCGCAGGAGTACACTACAGCAGCGGCACTGAGTCAAAGTGCAAAAAATCAAGTTTCAAGCGTTGCTTCACGTCAAAAGCCCTAAATGAAAGTCTAAAGAATTCACATGTCGAACAAAGGCCTGTACTCGTCGTCGCAAAGATCCACGTTCCCGTGCTTGAGCCTGTCACACAAGAATTCTGCAGCAAGCCATGCTGCACCGATTGCAGCAGTACGCGCATGGAGCAAGAACAGCCACGTAATTAAGTGGTCAGCAGCATGAAAGACCACCAGTAGTGCCAGGAGTAGCAACGGTGACAACAAGGCTCGTCAGAGCACCAGGAAAAAATTGCATAGCAGTACTGCAGTAGGGCATTGAGCCATTCTCCAGCGACTAGATTTAAACTAAACCCTAAACCGGCAACATCACCACCCATCTGAAACCCTACACCTCTTAGCGTGCTGCCCCCAGGTCTTTGATTTAGGGTTTTTTTCCCCTTTTGGGGTAGACCTCATCCCTCCTGTTCGTCAGCATGCCGGGGCATGCCGGAAAGCGAGAGGCTTCCCCACTCAGGGCAAGGCTGTGTCGGTAGGTAGCACGACTGATACCTTGCTTGCTCGCAGGTGCAAGGTGTGCTTGAGGATTTTGGGGGTTTGCTACATGGGTGAAGTTTCTAAACTCAAGCTGCTTGTCGATGCACGGCGTCAGTCAAAAGAACCGCAGATCAACAACGACTCAAGATCATACTTCTGGCCAGTACATGCTTTTGTCTGCAGAACCAGGTGGAACTGATCGCTGGTGGCTCGTGAGAGATCTTAGGGGCTTTGCCGGACCCTCCGGCGTGCAAGTTGCCCTGACCCTGAGCCGAAAGTCCTTTGATAATTACATGTATGTAATGTATGTGTGTGTATGCATATATATATATATATATCATATATCTTTAGAAGTTAGCCTTCAGTCACCGAAACAAGCCAGGCAATGCCCGGCTAAACTTCGAACCCCGAAATCGAAAACAAAAAACGACTCGGGCGATTGCACTTCGGACATCAAGTCGGCGGTGACCTCGGAGGGCTTCGGGTTGTGCCATTCAGGCAGGGCTACTTATTCTTACCTCCATAGAATACAGCGGGCTTCGTGTGGCGGTACTTCCTACAGTGTCAGCTTCTATTAACCTTAAGCCCTTTATAAACCCGAAACTCTGAAACTCGAAACCGTATGGGTGGTTGTCAAAATTATGGTCCCTTTTTGGGTTCTGATTATAATACGGCACCTATTATTTAGGGTACCCCAAAAGAGACCATAATTTTGACAACTACCCGTATAAACCCTCAACTCCTAAGTGGAGCCTTGCCTGCCTTGCGCGAGTGTGAGAGTCGAAACTCCTAAGCCGATCGACCTTCTGCCTACACTTGGAGCCCAGCCCACACCTTGCACGGTCCACATAGCATCCCCTAGAGTCCTTAGAGTATCCCTTTATAGTACCAGAACGCTAAACCCTAAACCCTAAATCCACCAAGCCCTAAACGCCCTAAACCCCTAAACTCTAATCACACCCGAGTTCCCTAAACCCCGAACCCCTCAGTCAACCCCTATAAACCCCTAAACCCTGTAGTAATGTAGAATCTCTTCAGACTTCAAGGGGGTTGAAAGGCTCAATGCCTGAGATGCTGTTGCTGCGTACGCCCTCTAGCCTACATCCCGAAGCTTAGGGGCTGAGTACCCTAGGTTTAGGGTTTAGGGTTTAGGGTTTAGGGTTTAGGGTTTCCTAGCCCAAAACGGCCCAACCTTTTCAATTCTAGTAGGATTATATAAGGCCCCGTAGATGAAAAGATTATCTACTCAGCCCCTAAG